AGCTGCCCCCAGCCTCTCGCCAGCCCTGTTCTCCTGGCAGCCTGATCCACAGCCCTGGCACCGGGTATGTCCAGGCACTCCAGCCCTGCCTCAGCATCTCGCCCCCCAGATTCACCAGAAGCAAAACAAGCCCTTGCTTCTCCAGGGTCTGTGCACTGAGACATCAGATTTCGTCACCAGTTTTCTTCCTTACAGCTTCATGGAGGTTTCATGTCATTCCCTCTACTGCAACTAACTGGAAGTAATCCCAAGCAGGGTACAGTGTATTGTGGAATTGGAAACCACTTCTCACTGTGATGCTATTTAAGCGTGACTTGGTTGTTCCTTCCTTTTCCTGGGGACATCTTTAATATTCACATCACTGGGAAGATACTTCGTACAGACACAAACTAGAACTGAGCTGTGTAACTGTTCATTCATGTTCCTGTCCCACCCTAGGCTGTGCAGTGCATCATTCGTAACAGACGTATTCAAATACCACATCTGACACCACAAACTAATTGGCACACTATCCTGGAGAAAGATTTTCAGTGACTTCATATTTTATAGTTAAATCCTGAATGAAGTCTCTATAATAATCAAAAAGAGTGTCAGAGACAGGGAAAAATACATTTCTTTCTAAATTATCCTATGAGAGAAACATTTCATTAGAGATTTTTTTACCTCACCGGGGGAAAAAAGGAAACAGGAGCAGGATGTCTTTCCCAATGGCTTCCCTAGACCCAAGTGAAAGTGGAACAGTCAGACTTTACCCCAAAGTCCCCTCAAAACAGCAGAATGGACATCCTGGAAGGGTGTGAAGCAAAGAGCACCAGAACTCTTCTGTACTCTGCTCTCCTCCCAAGGGAAAGATACACACAGGTGAATATTCCAGTCTTCTAAGAATAAAATTAAATTCAAACTTTCTACAGGTTGAAGCTAAAGCAAAAGGGAAGCTCTGAAGCACTGCCAGCTGTGATACTACTTGACAACTCTTATTTGAGAACCTGCATCTCATCTTCCTACAAACAGTTCCTCCAACAGAAGGAAGCTGAAGTACAGTTTGCTTTTCCTCCATCCTCTGCTGGTCACCTGCCTTCATCTTTTTCTGCCTGGTTATTCAACATCTTTCAGAAGCGAAGATGCAATTTTGGCCCCATGAAAAATGTCTGCGAGGGTGTATCTGCAAAGTCCACCTTTCTTACACAATTCTCAGTTCATTGCTGATGGAGTCTCCCACTGCCCATGCCTTTACAGAGTATCACCATTTTTTTCTAAAGCATAAGAGAGTCCATCAATACTTTAAAACATCAAACAATAAAGTGGTTTTGTGATGGGAACAATATCCAATAACCTACACATGGCCACTACACTTTAGTCTTGAACTGCAAGCCACAAGCCATGAATGTGGTCACATTTTTTGCTGAGTTCTTCCATCATCTTTTCTCACTAATGTGACATAAAAAAAGGACAAAAGTTATGTTCAGGCAGAAGAGAACCACAGTACACTCCTGAAAGGCTTCTGAAGGAAAAACTACCTTGTTGTATAGAGCTACCTTGCTATTCCAAGCATTGTATTTTAGTGAGCAGCAGCATTTATTACATACATATGCAGCACTATCAAATAACCTAGAATTTTGCAACACAACATGTGTTTTAAATGCAAAGAAATTAAATGGCATTTAATTTAATGCACTTTTTGGGTAAACAGCTTCTTTTCCAATTTATCAACATTTAAACATCTGCTTTGCCTGTAGTGACTTCCAGAACTGTCCACCATAAGCTACATAAACAGGCCATCCAAAAACATGATAGCAAATCGCTGTTTAAACAACTCATGCTCCCTTACAAAAATTTACTCATTCTTTCAGTAAACTTCAGATCTAATGGATGATGACCCCTCAAAGATGAACTGCTGTAACCTGTTACAACTGCTAATATTTTTTGTGTATATGAATACTAACATATTTTATTTTTTTAAATATCCATGAACTTCTCACTGTTGTAAAAGAGCTTTATATGGAACTCTTCTGGTAGATGAATTACTGTGGGAATTTATTCGATGCTTTAGACCTCAGAAGTAGCTAACTTGAAAATACCCAAGGTAAAACAGATACAAGAAAGAATTACATGAAGCAATTAAATCCCCTTCAGCTCTGGCTTAAATAACAGGCTTGATGACACTGGCTTCCGCAATACAAAACTAAAATGGGAAACTCCAGATGAAGAGATCAGAAATACCATTTTTCTCCTTTTGTAGACCCAGATCTGCTGCAGTTAACATTCCAAAGGTAATGGACCCATTTCCTTCAACAAAACAGGGATACGGTCAATGAGAGGTCTGACCTGCTACAAATACCCAACATATTCTGATAAAGTACATATACCCCGTACTGGAAAAATTTAAGGAGAATTAACAGGGGAAGAGAGATTCAATTTAATTTCTGGCATTGTCACTATCCATCTTAATCTTTTCTCTGACTTTAACTAGGCATTGTCCTGAGGTTGCGACAGTGCTACTTCAAGGTAATTTCCACAAAGAGATGGCACAAGGGATGTTTTCTTTGTTCTCAGTGCACTCCACTAGGGACTGAAGGAACAACAGTGCTGCGATGATGGCTTCGATGCTTGCAGGATCCTCAACTCACTCCTGACAGAGCTGGGATGGGGACTCCCCCTTGAGACAGTGCACACAGTGCACAAACGCAAAAGGCCTCCCTCCTCAGCATCCCCATGGCTAACAGGTACTCAACCTGCCCTTTTGCTGCTGCCCCACACCTGACACCCTCTGCACGCAGGCTGACTGAACACACCGCCGTCTGCTTTCTCTGGGCTGGTTTTTAGGCTTTTTATACAGTCATCAGCAAGTGGACAATGTGCATGACAGAGCAGCGTACACCTCTTTTTTACGATGCCTGGAAGAGAATGAAATCGGCCGTGTGTCTCCAATCCCAAAATATTCTTACTGACAGAAGCAAGCCCAGCTGTACTGCTTTTATGGGTAAGTCCTACACAAGAAGGTACAGGATACTTTTCTGCCTTTATGCACATCACCTTTCAGGTGTTCATATAACCTTGTAACAACTCAGCCCCTGCTGAAGCAGGAAAAAAGAACCTCAGCCTGGCTACCCTTCGTGTTCCATGTTTAGTTTAGTACAATCTCAAAGGTGTTTGCTCTCAAAATTTATGAAATTATTACAATGGTAGAATAAGGCTTAGAGCATTTTCTATCTGTAGAACTCAAACCCAATTCTTAATATTGCAGTGGTTAGAAAACACACCAAATTACATGCACTGTTTTGGTATTTACAATTATTCTTTTAACAGTCACACTTTCTCAAGGTTAAAAAAACCCACAGCCCATAAGGGCAGCTTTCAAAATTATTTTTTCAGTGCTGTGTGGCTAATACACACCATGCTGAATTTTAAGGTCATGTTTTTATTTGGAAGTGTAATGATGCAAGTGCTATTTTCATCACTGTAAATATATTCTGGGACCAGGACTACAACTTCTGGTGCAAAGCTCCCCTTAAGGAGCTACAAAACTATCTGTATAGTTGCTCTCTATATACTCACAGATACACAGCCTTGTGTATATCTGTGTAGCTGAGTGAACAGATGAGTTGCCCAGATTGCGAAGTTGTTGTTGTCCTTCTTTATTTTCAATCCCCTAACACGAACATTCTAAAATTTTTGATCTGAAAGCTATCTCTTGGATTAGAATTGGCAAATATAGTTCAAATTACTTCCTAGTTGTAGTAATGGAAGCTTGAAATGAAATTTCAGGTACTTGCATCTTTTTCTTGGAAATAAATGCATACAAATAAGGTTTCCCTGACCCTAACTGTAGTATGCCCTAACTCATACACTTGTGTCAACATAACTACCAAGCTATAAGCCTCTAATTTTTGTGGATGGCTGATTTTCTTCTGTCCTTCATTTTCTCCCCACCAGTGGACCTCACAACACATTATTTTCTCTGGCCAAGCGTGGTCAGAGGCAACTAATTGTTGAGGAAGTTGCTCAGGTGGAAAGGAAGTTTGGGGGCTATACGAAGTTCTGCATCTCCCCAGTGGTTAAGGTAGTCAGCAGTTACCTTTGGCCTCTGTGAGCTCAGCATTTTCCAGCTATTCATCTTCACTTCCCTAAAGAGCTCTATGAAAGTTAACAGCACAAACAATACACTAGAGATTAGCGTATCATACAAACACACAGCAACTCATACAAATACACAGCAACCGACTGGAAGTGTAACGATTTTTCCCTCCTAGCACAGGGTCTATGGCAGGAGAAGCCGTCACAGACCTTTGCGTAAATCTGGTCCTTAAAAAAGACAGGAGAAATCATTGTCATCACTGTCAGTGCACAGAAGTTAACAGTCAGGTCACCAACTATATGTGATGTGGGAAAAATCATTGCGAACAGCGTTCGTGCTTCAATTTCTTCCCTGGGACAGACTTGCTCTTCTCAGCAGTTTCCCCTCAAGGAACATTATTATAAACAACTGTCCTATTTTTATGCAAATTCATGTTTTACAGGAGATAAGACAGTAATGATAAATTCTTCCCATTTCCTAACACTAGATGAGAAAAACTCTACTCCATAAAGAACCAAAATTGTAATATCAAGAGTGTCATTCGTAACGGGGGTGAAATATATTCCCTTATTAGCAGGAACAGAACATCATTTGTTCTTGTAACATGATCTGGTTGTCTGGAAAGAAAAATCCTAGTTAATCATTTTATTTTATTATATTCTTTCCAATGACTGAAATTTACACAAATGAAAATAACTAGGAATTGATCATGGGTTGACAATACTTTCAGATTGTCAGGTGGTGTCACATCTCCTCTAAATTACTAACTACCTTAACAGACGGCTAATAAACACTGCAGCCCAGTGCAGCAGCCTCCTACACATTACATTGTCCCCGGGGTGTTAAACGACACAAGGTACGCAGATTAGGAGCATTTCTCATTTGCATAAATTAAGTTCCAGCTCTGGCTTACCTTGTCTCCTTGTCCTTGGGCATTGCAGGTGAGCCGTAGCCAAAAGCCTGCTTGTCGACTGGGGAGGGCACCACCTCGACCATGCCCGGGGGGCCGAGGGTGCTCCGTGCTTTCACGTCCACAAACATAGGTGGTCCCGGCTCCTTTTTGAAGGACTGGCGGCTGGGGGAAGCCCTGTCAGGCTGGATGGCGTGGGGGGGAATGTGAGCACTGTGGTGAGGATGAATATCAATCATTCTCATGTCGGTCACCCTGTGAGGTGAGGCGGGAGGCGTCTTAGAGCCGAGAGTGGGCAAGTGGCTCTCCGGGTACTTTCGTGACTTTTGTCTGTACAAGGACTGCTCCAGCATTTCAGGCGGCATAGAGGGGTTGCAGTAAGTGCTCGATGACCTCATGGCACCGCGATGGTAGGTTACGATGTGATCAGGGACATCAAGGGGGTGTCCGGAGTGGGGTGCAGCCACACTCATCCTCCCCTCGTGAAACAAGTAGGGGTCACTGTACAGACCTTCATTTCGGATCAGGGCAAGATTTTTGTTACTCATGTCCTCGTCTGGCTTCACGTCCCGTCTCTCTAAAATGGCGCTTGGGCTGGGTGATATTGAGCGCGAGGCTGGCACGCTGGAGAGCCGGTCCCTGGGGATGGTGGCATTGCCTGGCACACCCATGGGCCGGCCCCCGCCGTACGGAATCCTGGACGGAGAGGGAGGCATGGAGTGGGGCACCGGGGTGGAGGGTGGAGAGCTGGGCATCGCGTGCGAAGGATGCGTGGCAGATCCGGGGCGGGAAGCACTTGGGCCATCTCGGCCCGTATAAGCAATTTCCCTCTGCATCTGGAAAGGAAAGGAAAAACATGTAAGATATAAAATTACTGAATGAGCAAAACATGATGTGGGTTACGACAACCTTGACATCTACAGAAAGAAATGGGAAAAAACCCAAACCCTCACAACCAAATAATTTGTCATCTGCATATACAAAACACTTGGGGACCTCAGTGCCTAAAGAAGATTAAGAGCTACAAACAGCAATAAAATGGGCTGCTTGTTAAAGGAATACGAGAGTTTTAAAAATGCTTTTGCTTACGCAAATACTACCTTACCCTAATCTGATATTCACAGCTACCGAAGCTGGGGGATTTCAGTGCCAGGTGCTCTAAGTACATGTAGCCAGTGACAGACTTAAACAGTTTATTGATCAGACACACAGGCTCACTGATTCCAGGAAGAAAATGCTGATGCTGTGGCATCACAAATAGAGCTGAAGTCCTTACGCAGGAAAAATAAATATTGCAACTAATTGGCCATTTACTTCAGTGCAGGATTTAGCCTTTTGCTAATAATTTGTGCGGTCTTTATCATACAAAGGATACACAAAGCATAGGAGAACAACACACACACACATTTATTGACTGTAACAGTCAAGTTGCATGGAAACAGTTTGACCCTATAAAACTTGTGCCACAGGTTTCCTTCATTGCAAAGATAACAGTGCTTCAGTTAGTTTGTGGAGCACGCACTCAGAAAGTCACCAAACAGTTTACCACAGTTCTGTAAGCAGCAAGCAGTAACTGCCAGCAGTAAGGAATGAGCAAGCAAGGAAAAGAAAGGGAAAGCTCCATACCAATGTACTAGTGCTTTGTTACCAGAGGCCTTGGCAAAAATCTGCCACGGAGACATGTGCTTCTGAGACTGCAGCATCTCACTCTGCCCAGCAATGACCTCTGTAGATGGCTGAACACTGTCAGTGACAGATACAGGAGAAATTCTCCCTCTAGCAAGCATCATGTGCCTGCCCTGGTGCCATTAGGGTAAGGTGGATAAACAGAGAGATGAAAAAGTCAGCTGGGTTCCACCAAATACAGAAGAAAAAAAATTACAGCTTCTAAAATTTGTGTTGGCAATTTCAGCTTCTCTCTCCATTACCTTCAAGGGATTGTAGAAAACTGAGCATCACCAAGCCTGACTACACACTCCTAAAGTTACAGAGCTCACACTAATGTGCCATGGAAGTTGCTGATGTGAAATCCTCACCATTTTTCTGCTCTTTCACTCCTTGCTTTGACAATGTCACTGGATTCATTGCAGTTACAGTGATCCACAACTGATGAAGCAAGAAATTATATTCTGTTCCTGCCCCACCACAGGTTTTTCCACTGATAAGGGAATTGCGATGGCGGTGTATAAACAATAGCTGTTCTCATCACCGCAGGCTCCGCACTTGGGAATTACAAATGACATTCCCCAGGGCCAGAGATCAAAAGTCTGGAGTATCAGGTATCAGAAAGAAGAAAGGACATAACCTGATCATGGCAGCAGCAATAATAAATAAGTAGAAGAGAACAAAGGAGCGCTCTGGGATGGGTCATAAAAGAGCCAGACAAAAGTCCTCAAGACAAAGGGGAACACGGGATAATTTTTTCATTTGCACAGAGAATTACTGTAGTCTGGACATTAAAATATAACTAAATACTATTAATAAAATTAACAGTGGGCATTCAACATACTTTTCTATCAGCTTGAAGAAACACTGCAACATACTGAGCTGTATTGTGCGTTCAGAATCTGGACCTGGGCCAGCAGAACAAAAAGACTCCTACTGACTTGAGCAGCTTTGGGATCACGCCTCCAGGGACAGGCAGCCGTAGACGTTTTGCACTCAGAGAAGAGCCCAAGGAAATAAAATCATCCTGGGTTTCTGCTGCACAAGCTATACTATGCCCTGTTTAGTTGCTTCAGCTAAAGCTACGACACATGCAACAGTATCTGGCACAGAAACCATAGACACTGGGAAACCCTGGGTTGCAGTGAGAGAAAAATTCCAATGTTACCTCGTGGAGAGGAGAAAATTTCCATGGGAAGCTTTGAAAGCAACAGGTTTAATTTCCCCTAACTTCTGGACTTCATATTCCTGTATATGCTCGTTCATTTCTTAAGTCAAAGAAAAATTCCTACTTTCCACCTTAACATATTGCTATAGTTAAGATGGAAATCAGGAGTTCAAATCCAGGGCTGAACTATGGCCAAAAGCCCTGTGTCTGAGTACTGATGTATGTAATGCTATCTACTTTTGCTTTAAAATAGCACTTGGGAGTACAGAGACTGAACCAAGCACCCGCTGGGATGGGCAGGGCACAAACGCCTGGGCAGACAACCCCTTTCCGAAAAGGTCCCTTTCGATGTTCAGCCATGACTCAGCCCCTGGGTGGAGCGCACAGAAGGGGAGAGCAGCTGCAGCCATGAGTCCAGGGTGGGCTGGGCAGGGTCGTGAGCTGGTGACCAGGAGCCAGGCAGCCTTACCAGCTGGATTACTGTGTCTTCTGTCACCTGGTTGGTATTTTCTCTCTTTCCACTTTTTTTCTCTTCAAAATCTCCAGATTCTTTCCTAATGACAACTTTGAAAATGTGAATGATGGTCTCTTTTTGCTTTTCATCTATACATCTTTTGTGTGATACTCAAAGCACACAACTCTCTCTCATATATACCCCACTTTCTGTGCTGTTTTCCTTCTTCTGTCCTCCACCACAAAACCCCCATGTTGCTCAATGAAAACATGTACTCTAATATGCAGGCTGTCTTGAGCCACGTGCTCTTGGACTTCAACTGCATGACTCAGGGACAGAGAAAGAGGATATTCGTCTTATCTGAGCCTCTAAACACTAGGTCCTATCATAGCCAATTGCTTTGAGGGTGAAAGGAAGAAGATTTTTAGTGCAAGCACAGGATCATATGCTTTTCGACTGCAGCCATGTAATACGATTGCCTGAGGGTGTGGTTTTCCTTAACACATAGCTCTTCCTTCTTCTTCCTGCCTATAGACTTTACATCCCCAAAACAGAAACTTGTCTTGTCGATCCGTAGGTTAAAAAATGGCAGCTAGCAATGATTTCTGTATGAGGGGAAAAGGCATCACTAAGAATCTTTCACTATCTGTAGGAAAAATGATCACACCATGTCTAAACATCTCCTGTGGAAAGGTTTTTGGACAGTCTAACAGCTTGAGTCTGTAAGATACAGATTTGAATTTTTTTTTAAACCAGACCAACAGAGACACTCTTCACTTAAGAAGAGTGAACATCATATAAACCTAGCTATGTTCTTTATTTCAAAACTAGTTGGCATACTCAATGACTTTCTATATTTTGAATACGGCTATATGCAGAAAGGTAGCAAACCAGCTATCCACCCAGCCAAACGGATGACCTTACAAAAAGTCTCACTCCTGGTAGCTCACGTAAGGGTGAGCAGACCCAGTGTCTCTGCATAGAGCAGAATACAAAGCTTGTGGCAGCTCCCGGCCTTGTGAACAGCACAGCTCCCCAGCAAGGAGGACAGAGTTGTGGTATCATAACCCTTATGGATAGCAAAGAGCTCTTCAGTGGTTCAACAGCTGGTGATGTCTGCAGTACAATCCAGTCTGTCTTGTTGTCCATCAGGACCAATACAGCACGATGCTGATCTTTATTCTAATTGTTGAGGCTGTCCTGCCTTCTAGGTCACTCTTGTGGTCTGTCCCAGCATGGGCATCTCACAATGAAGAAACTATCCATACTCCTGTTTCTCCAGCTGCCTCAACACCCCGTCCACTCCTGTGGCACACACCAGACAGGGCACGCGGAGCTGTGCTGGCACGCACACCAGGGCGATGCCAGGTAGCACTAAGCACTAAGCCTACCACTGATTCATCGGCACCACACCACCCCTTCACCTCACCACGCAGCTGGATACCAGAGGTGCAGCCTGACTCACACCATTATCTGCCACCTTCTCACAGCAAAACACGGGCAAAGTAGGCCAGAGTTTCTGACCTGGCAGCCCTTCCCATTGCTCTCCCAGGCCTCGTCTGTCAATACAGAACACAGCAACTGGCTTTGCCTGCCAAAATACCTACACGGAACATATTGCCTAGATGGAGCTCATCCATGCACCCTCTCAGAGATACTTTGAAGTTCCCAGTAGACTCCATTAATCACCTCTCAGACATGAGAAGCTATTACCTTCCTTCCTCTCCCATTGTCACCCTGCATCTCCCTGAGGAAACTGCACCTATGCTCCTCAAGTTGGCTCACCCAACAGTAAACAGGACACCTGCAAAGAATTTTATTAAGAGCTTGGAGAATCTTTTATGAAAAAGGTGCAGAAACACTAAGCATTGATGCAACACTGATAAATTCATCTGTCTGTAAAGAGACCTTTCGTGGAAATTGCTCACCAGAAGAAAATCCTCTAAAAGGTGAGGCAATCCTTCACTTTTCTAATGAGGAAAGACTGATTAAAGAACTCCAAATCCAACAACGAGTTCACTAGTTTGTTCTTTTCTCATAAAAAATGAATTGACAGCTTTACTGTACCAGTTGTCCAAACCCCTCAGTTTAATGAGGAGTTGCACTACATGATACCACTTCTGTCATGAGTGATGTTTCATTCAGGCTGGGTTTGAACAGCTGAAAGCACAAACACATTTTTGCAAAAAACCTGTCATATACAGTTTTAGTATTTCTAAAATAATATAATTTACAATAAAAAAATAGTGTAGTCGAGAATTAAAAAATTGGTAAACAGTCTGAAAATGAAATTTTTTAAGTGTCTGTACCATAACTATCTGTCTGAAGCCAAATCCTTATGCTGTCAGACATCACTGAGAGGTTGTCACACTTGTCTGTCCTTGCCTTCCCATAGTATGCCTTTTAATTCCTACAGATTTCCCCATTCTGTTGGGTCACTGAAGAAGAAAAAACAGGCTGGCTGCAGCTGTGGGTTCCTCTAGCTGCCCAAAGACATACTTGAAAGCTGCAAACATATTAGCGTAATTTTTAGTTTTTTCTGGTCAGGA